GAGTTTGGTCGTTGTACCGCAGCACAAGAGGCGTTTGGCTATGTCGTGTTGCGACCGTGTTGGCAGGAGTTTGCAGCGGAACAAGAGCAGCAACAGGGGTCCGGGCGGGGGGATGTGTACTAATGTAATCGCATCCCGTAGCCTTTAGACCGTTGACCTCGCATCCCTGCAACGCCAGGACTGAGCGAAATGCAGGCGTTTCGTCGGCCCAGGCTACGATGAACCAGAAGCTGGTCGTCATCGTTGCGTGAGCCACGCGGGGGGGCAGCGGTATGTAGTCGGGGACTGGAAGGATTTCTAGATGCAGGCGCGGACGGTTGTCCGTGCGCAGGAAGATGATGTTGCAGGCAGGCACGTGGGTACTCTCTTGCTTGCCCCGGTGACGGCACGGGGGCCCGTTTTTGTAATGGTGTTATTGTTACGGCCGACTGTTTTGGTGGCTGAAACGGTCGTCTGAGGGGGGATTGTGACGTTCGGGCGGGGGCGGGGCTTGTTGAGGATGTCTCGTCATCGTTTCGGTTGTTGATGATCATCGTTTCGGTATCATCGTGTTCATTCCGACAAGATGTGAGGGAGGGAGGGAGGGAGGGAGGGTCTCCCTTCCTGCGGCGTCGTTGTCGTTTTCCCGCGGCTCCAAGTAGGGCGGAGGGGGATGGATGTTTCGGGAAAGCTCTAGCTTGACCCTCCTGTAGGGGTCAAATAGGAAGATAGAACGTTTTGCCTTTTGGCTTGAACCTTCGGCGGAGGTCAAACAAACAGGCTGGCATACCCCTTTCGGGGAAACATAGCGCCAGAGAGGGGAGGGCTATTCCTGTAATATTTTGATGATCGCCCCACCGTCTATCTGTTTTTACTCCTTCCCCTTTTCTGACCCTGGGTGTTCTACGGGAAGAAGTGTTCCACGGCGCATACGCCCCCCCCCTCCCCGAGATGCTGTCGAGATTATTTTGCCGGGGTCCCCCATGCGGTACCGGTTGGCGGTACATATAGAGTTGGTGGTGGTGGTGGTGATGATGACGATAGCAAGCGAGCGTTCGCGGTGCAAATATAGAAGACAGCGTGCGGAGAGCGTTGAAGTGAGGCTGTTTTTCTTTGGTATCTCGACTGGTATGGTACGATCGTTGTTGGTGTTGGGGCGGGTGATGTTGTTGGTACCATAGTTCTTTAAGTAATTCAGAACATAGCTGTATGCATCAAGAGCTGGACACGGTACCGAAGTAGCGACCTGCCCAGTCTCCCGTTGCTTCATATGCTTCTTCGTGTATGAAGGGAAAGCAACGTGTGTGTTTTTTGCGGGGGTCGTGTAGAGTATCTTGATTCCTGTTTTTTTTTCTTCTACCCTAAACCGGAATTTCCAATTTTCCGTCGATAATTTCCCCTAGGCCCGCCTTTCCGGATGTACTGACGTCCTGCATGTCCTCGACTGGTGTTGCTACTCTTTCGAGCGTGTGCACCTGAACGCGAGCTCTTGCTGCAAGGCCTTAGCAGCAGTGTTTCGTTTCTTTTTCCTTCTTGTTGTCCGTAGCGGTTTTTGTTACGTCTTGGATGACCACCACGCTGACCGCGGCGGACGACAACGTCGCCTGTTCGTTTTGCGGGGAGCGCAACCCTAGCCAGGGGAGAACCGCCTACACCAAGGTATGGGCACAGCCGCCGCGTGTGCGTGCTTGAGGGTACCACGTCACGGAGGCGATGTGTGAAGGCCCCTAACCATGATATTTGCTGCAATTTGGAAGGCATAGAGTTTTCAATATCGCGGGGCCCCCGCCCTCAACAACACGCCTCAACAATACCGGGGCATGGGCGTGTGTACGGTGGCGCATGGAAGATGGCAGGTTCTGACGGAGTCGTGGAGTAAATAGGATACCAATGTACTTGCATGCAAGCTGCTCAACAGAAAATATAGGTCTCGTCTTTGCTGCTGCGTGACCCGAGCGGCGAAGTCCCCTACGCCCACCGACAAACCGCATAGACGAGACACAGCCAAGTGACGCATCTTCCGTCTTGTACGTACACGCTCATCGTGCCTGCATCCATCGCGCGGCTCTGTTCGACCCGAAACCAACCGCCGACGTCAATCACAGGCGCCTTCGACGCTGTTCGTTCAAGTCAAGAGGACGACGACCTGGAACAAAGGGGTCGCGGTGAAGAAATCCAGGCCGGTGACCTTCGAACAGGTAGCCCATGTTCCATTAGAGGGCCCTGTAGGCCAGGGGGGAGCCCCACACACCACCAAGTACCAAGTTCGGGGGTGAGTTTCGGTGTGTATGTATGCGAGTGGCGTGTTTCCTCAACGGTAAAGAGGTAGGGAGGCGGGAAGGGGGATAAAGGGGGTGATGGGTACGTGCTGGTCTCCTTGCTTCCCCATGTCCCCCTTCCCACCCGATGCGTAAGTACCGAGTATTAGGCCCGGGCCGTGACGTTGTGCGTCGGCGGTATTGGGATGTAAATGTTGGCCCTTGTGTCTGGAGCTGACGGCGCTTCGTGTTGCTACTCCGGAACCCACGCCGCGCCAGGTTCGTGATTCACATCGGATCGGACCCACAGGCGGTCACTTTGTCACGTACCGACATCTGCACGGTTCCCGCTGGGTTTGTGCCAACGACTCTTTGGTGACGGAGGTGAGTACTGAATCGATGTGGCCTCCTTGAACCAGAGCTGTCCCACCAGGTTCTCCACCATACAGCTCTCGAGCGATACCTAGGCAGGGAGTGACATCGCAGAAATTGAGCCACATTGTTTGAGGTCCTTGCTAACACAGCGCGCGCACCTTGCTCGCTCAGGTAAACGAGGCCCGGGCCTTTGAACAAAACTCAAGCTTGTTCATCCTCGCGCTGGACGGAAGCGACGGCGAAGGCGTTGCCGCCGAGGTCGGGCTCTTCCTCGACGGGGCTGCCAAAAGCGTGGCAGGGGGCTCGGGCGGACAGGCGCCGGACGGCATGCAGGCGCCAGGATCAGAGGGCGGGGAGGAAGAAAGACCTAGTTTCGAAAGGGAATTTCTTTGGGAGCCACCCTCGTGCTTGCCTAGCGTCGTAGTGCCCGAGCGTATGTTACTGCAAAAGACTTGGTGTCAGAATCGGCACGTCGGCAGAAGTTTATTTGCCCGACGCTGTCGATGGGCGCCGCTTTCTTCCCCCTCTTTGTTTCTTCTGTGTGCACTCGAAACTAGGCCTTCCATGCACCTCACAGCACCCTCTTTGGTTCGTTCTGCGATGCAACCTTCCTAGGGACACAGCGGTGGTGACAGGGAAGATATTGGCGATAACAGCAGCAGCAGCGTGGAGGTACTACGTTTGTTCTGTGCCCATGGGGGGAAAGGAATGCATACGGCTGGGCAGGCGGCTTTCATCTGCTCGTAGCCGCAGCCGATGTGGAATGATTGGATGGGGAGTGCGAATTCGTCGTGGGTTTCCGCCGAAACCCAGGGCCCAGGCTCTGTAGCGGCAAACACTTCGTCCGCCCCACCCACCCAGCACCCCCCATCCATGTTAAATCATTCGTCGAAACCCGTCCGGCGTCATACTCCCCCAGGACTCCAACAGCGGGTGCCTCAACGGCGACGACGCCTCTGAGATGCCCGATAGCGACGGCGACGGCCAGTGGATGCCCGGCACCACGGTTTGTGTTTCGTCGCCGGCGCAGCAGGTTGCCTTTGTTCTCGCACGGTTGTTGTTGATGCTGTAGACGGTGGTGATGGTCGTTCGTCTTTACCTCCGCGTCTCGGTGCCTGCAGAGGGCGCGCGCGCGGAGGGGGGAGGGGGGTTCTCAGTGTCATTGATGTCGCACAGACCCACGAAGCCGGGACGGAGCATGCCATTTGTTTTTCGCGGGACTAGGCCCGCATTCACATGGCGCGAAGAACACGCCAGGTCGCGACGGCTGCGTACTGGGAAGGGGGCAGTCTCGCGGTCTGCGGAGTGGCCCTGCCCATTTGTGTTGTTTTACGATCTTTCGTCGACCTCCCAGCTCTCAGGCCATGTTCTTGCAGAGAAGATGGGGCGAGTGCTCTCGTCGCGAGTGTGGACTGCCCGGTGCCCGACGACCGCCGACACGATGCGCCGCACGTAACCGTGAGGCCGTAAACGAGACGTCGCGTGTTTGCGTTGTTGTTTAGCCGAACAATACGTACTGTGAAATATCGGTAGAGCACCTGATAGAGACAGTTCTTCCGAGGGCGACGCCGAGTTGGACGAAAACAATTGTCGCGCACATACGCAATATGCGACAATGCCAAGAAACCTCCCTCCCCCCGCCCTCGCCCCCTTCCGTTATCATCGCTCTCGCACCAGAAGTGCGGAACTGCGGCGGCGGCGGCGGCGCTTCCCAAGCGACAACGCGTCGGCGGCGGCGGCAGCAGCAGCAGCGGGGGCGCCAAGCACCACAAGTCCGGCGGCGGCTCGGGAGAGACCACGAGCGAGGCGATGCTTTGTGTGTGCTTGTCGAAGAAAAGAAAGAGTGCCCCTTCAGATGCTTTGCCCTCAAAAGCAACCCTGTAGAGCGGCTGTGACTGCCCCGCGGTTGTTGTTGCTGTCGCGTTATTTCCTCATTTTCTTCGTCACTTGTTTTGAGTGCGTCCCCGCTTGGCGGTAGGGAAGAGTCCCTCGCTGTCACTCTCCTGCCTCCGAGGTTGTGTCTAAACGCAAACAGATTCACCCAGCGCCCTTTTGCTGCCTGCCCGGTGCATCCGGACGCGCACTTGGCGTTGTTTCACCGCGACGGTTTCGTGGGCGAGCGTGCACAAGTGCGCCCCCTCGTTCACGCCGAAAGTATTGAGCACGCAGTTTTTTCAAACGGCTCGCGCGCTCTCAAAACGCGCAAGACCTGATGACAGTGTCGACAATGACGGACCCGTCGGGCGTCGGCGGTCAAGGGTAGAAATCGGGTTTTTTGTCGAGAACAGCCCGCAGCGAACGCTACGCCAGCCGTCGGTCAGACATGCGCCCTCTTGCTTCATTGGGCCCTGGCGACGCATCCCTGTCAACACGCACACACACATTCAAATGTCTTTGCTCTTCACCCTTCCCCCGCCACATCCTCCCCGCCGGCTGCGTCACGTTACCGCCCCAGAGCAACCACAGCAGGGGCGCCGCCCGCTCGCCTGCCCTGGCAGATGCCATACAGTCTCTGGAGTGCGACCCGGAGTGGGTGCTCTGGACCACCCCCGAGTCTACCGGGGCACCAGATCGGTGGAGGACCTCGACCGCCACCAGATCCGCAACCTGGTGGGCGCCGCCACCCTACCCGACAACGGCCTGGTCAACATCGTCGGGTGCTTCCTCGGCGACCTGCGGGCGCTAGAGAGCGCGTGTGCCGAGGCGGAGCTGCAGGGGCCGGTGGATTTGAACTAATTCGTCGGCGCCCGGGGTGTCGATGCGCCGGTAGTTCACGACCTCTCGGCGTTCGCAGGCGACCCGGCTGCCTGGACAACTCCGATTCTCTTGGAAGCAGGGGACGTGCCTTCAGTATTAGAGGCGCGGGTTCTTACCACAATAAACCTACCACCACCACCATACCACCGGGAAGGTGTCCCAAGCGGCCGGCAACGTCTCATCCTTCGAGGGTGGGCCGGCCGGGCACGAAAAACGACTGGAGGCATCCTGCGTGGAGGTGAAGGGGGATCGGAACGAGTCCTCGGTGTCCGCGATCCCCCACTGCGCTGCGCTGTCACAGCTACGCCTCGAATTCCATCAAGCAGCCAGTTATCGAGCGCTCGTCCGGGCTCGGTCTTTCCTTACACCACTTCACCGCGACTCCTGGTGTCGGGGTGTACAGGTGGTGTGGACATCGCCCAGGCCGGGCGCGGGACTGACAACGGAACAGTGCCCCACAGAACTCGAGGCGTAGCTCTGACAGCGCAGCGCAGTGGGGGATCGCGGACACCGAGGACTCGTTCCGATCCCCCTCCACCTCCACGCAGGATACCCCCAGTCGTTTTTCGTGCCCGGCCGGCCTACCCTCGAAGGACGCTACGTTGCTGGCCGCTTGGGACACCTTCCCGGTCGTGCAGGAGCTGGCGTCGGTTGGGAGGCGGAAGGCGTTTCGTCTACTGGGGCCGCCCACCAGAGCAAGGCTCTCCGCGACGCCAAAATCTCTGGAGAGCGCCGCGCGGGGGGACTTGGAGCTGCATCGAGCATGCACCAACGGGGGGACGGTCACCGACACGCGCGTCGGCGAGATAATGCTGGATTTTCTAGGAGACGCGATCGAGATTTACGCCGCGGCGAACGGCGGGCCAAAGGTTAAGGGCATCCGGCGGTGTGAAGAGCTGGACGAGGCGCGCGACCGGGGGCTTCTCCAAATCCGCAAGGTGGCGGGGCGCGCGGGGCGGGAGGTTCGGGGCAAACACGTCCGGACCCGAAACGACTGCGCAGCTGGAGGTATGTACGTATAGCAGCCGGTGTCTCGGAGCGACCGACGGTTTGTTGCTCCTGTTGTGCTCATGTTGTTGTTGATTTTACGATGTTGTTGTAGATGATTATGATTAAGCGGCCTTGTTCGAGATCGATTCTCGCATAGCTCGTTACATATGATTGGCGGTGGTTTGGTTGAAACGTTATGAAGTAGGTGCCGGTGTGGAGGATTGTCGTTGTTGCTGGCGTCTATTTTCTTGTTTATTTCTGTGTTAAGGATTGCTCTAGTTTCTCCTTCCTCGTCTGCGCCATGCATCCAAACCCGCAGGTAACGCAAGCTGGACCGGCCGCTCGAAGGGGGTCAACGAGAAGGGAGGCCGAGGTAGCCAAGCGGGCGGCTGAGGCGGCCCATGCTCCGGCGCCGGGGGACGAGAAAACCCAACCGGCGCAAGCCTTGGGAGCAGCGACCAACGGCGTGGAGATGGCCAAGACCGCCAAGAAGCGCCGGGGCACGGGCGGTAAGATTGTCGCCGGCGTTGCATTCGTTCGGACCAGGATCCTACTCGTTGTGAATATGTTGTTGCTGCTGTTCTTGGTCGTTGATGTTGATGATGTTGATGATGTTGATGATGTTGATGATGATGATGCTTAGAGCGCCTTGCTCAAGAACGTTTTCGGTTGACTCCTTCCGCCAGACTTGGCTCGTGTTGGCGCCAACCTTTGCGTTACCTCGCCGACGCTGGCATTTTGCCCCGCCCCCCCTTAGCCTCCGCCCCCCCCGGTATTTGCTATCGGGATTGGGTTTTCGTCGCTTGGCAACGACGCTGTAAAACAAGCCAATTCACTTGGTGAACTCGGCAACCAGGTAACCGTTTTTTTTTTTTTCCTCCGTTTTTTTTTTTGGCGGTAACCATTATGGTGGTCGAGTAGATCATGTTGTGCGGGGTGGATAACCCTCGCTCCGCGCAAGGGGGATGATCGCACCACGTTGTGTTAAAATGGTCAAGCACCCTCGAGGCAGTTACACAGTGCTTACAACTGTCTCTGGAAGTGAAAGCACCAGAAAATAAATTAATTCATACGCAGCTGTCATCCGTACGCAAGGAAGTAAGCACAAGATGCCGAA